ATTTATCACATAGATTTTTCACGAATCGGTGATGATTTATACGTTTTTAATGAATCGATGCTTAATTTATCTGTTTATTATTACACGTTGCAAATCATTTATAATAGATAATTATTTGTAACGTTTAAAATAACAGAGATACAGATATCACGACAGACTTTTAATTATTAATTCGTATCAGTTTCTATAATTTGAGTGAAATTTACAGTCCGTGGAATTTTATTTTATTACATTATATACATGGAAAATGGTTGTTATCGATTGTGTTTTCTTGGAACCGTTGATTTCGGATGTTTTATTGTGTAATTTAAACGAGCGATTAATGTATTCCCCATAGATGTTTCAATGCGCGAACAGAAATTTATATGTCATTTTCGAAGATGAATTATTACTTGTGTGTTAAAGAGATAAATATTTATATTATTTTATATGAATGATTTTAAACTGATGGTGATAAAATATGGAGATAATTATTTGTCATTGCAACCATAACACGCATGTGAATAATTATAATTGGTATAATGAAAATAAATAAGTGCATATAATTGCATTTCTATTTCAATTAAAATCGATGTTAATTCGTTTGAAAGCGTGTGCATGTTTTTATTAATTGAGAGAATAAAAAAATGTCTGAGACGTATCATTTTACGTTTGACATTTTTAATGATAAATTTAATTAAAATAAAGACTAATTGATGCTACATTTTAATTAATTGAAATTAAATGCAACGCGAAAATTGATTATGTTAAATAATAACTATAATAATATAAGATAATATACGCGTATTTTGTAACATTTCGTGTTTCTTCGCTTATAAAGTTTTCAGTTCTGTTCAAATTTTTCAAATGATCGAATATTCTTATCAAAATATCAAAAGAAATTAAATAATACAAAATTTCTAATCACGCCTAAAAGAAACGAGGCTTAAACAAAGACTTACTCCTCGTTCAAATTTCCCATAAGTATTTAATAATCGTATCATTTATATTTAAAAATCAACATTTTCAAACCCGTGTTTCTATCCACCTATAAAACATTCGAAAACTCGATTAATCCAGATATTCCGTGTACCAATGAATCACCACGCACGACATCCGATGGAAACAGAAGAATCGAACCGTAATTTCAAAACAACGTTCCGCGAACGATCTCTCGAAATGGATCGACGACCGATCTCCTTCCGCTGTTCAATCGTTCTTCCGCCAACGAGTAGACACTAATAGTCGAGGGAGGTAAATTCAGCTGTGGAATCGATCGGATGCCAGTCACCGACGCGTCCATGCCCGCAACAAAAATCCTTAGATCGGGGTCGATCCCCCGCATATACACGTCCCTTCGAATGCTTCAAATAGAATTGCGGAACATTCTTGACGTCCGTCACGGACCTATTGAAATTAAACGGCTGTGTACAAGCTTAAGCTGTGGCCTCTCTCAGACACCTTCGGTTCCTACATACCTGCGGCGGTGTCAGTTTTGCAGCTTTCTTCCCCAACTATTTCGAACACTCGAACGACTTCCGTCGGATTAGATCGCTTCTCCACCCCTCCAACCACTTTCTCTCCGCTGCAACCTTTCTTCGAATTTCAGCGCGGAATCTCGATGCGCAATGAACGATGACTTGGGATTTGCGATTCTGCTGGTGCAATTGTGGATGCAATATTATATATATATATATATTCGTATTCTTGGGATTGTGTATGCATTTTGAAGCTAGATTTCGTATACAATGGTTGTTCTATTTTAATACGGTGGAATGGTAGATATCGAAATGATTCGATACTGGAAAATATGCGTTTTATTATGTTGTTTTTATCAGTAGATAAAAATGTCCTACTTTCTTTCTGCTTTCTCTCTCTCTCTATTATTCCAATATTCTAATATCCGAACTACTAATTGAAGATTCTGTTATTCGAACTGCTCGACTATGTCTACTTGCGTCAATGTAAACATCAATCACAGCGGTGGGAACAGAATTTAATTTGAAATTGATATTGAATACGTTTGCACGGTGTATATCTGCAATGTGTTAATTATTGGAATGGAAATACTTGAGAAAATAGGAAACGGTGAAAGTGTTAGGATACGGCATAGAAGAATAAATAATATTTGGATAATCCATGATCGCTGAAGTTGAAAATTGTTCGCAAGAATGTTAAAAATATATATTTTCCAAAAGGTTTAAAGAAATTTTTCATCGAGTGCAAAAGGATTAATCTTTTCACACGTCAAATTAACGTAATCATCTTACAATATATCTTAATCCCCTGATCTTTTTTTATTTCCAACTATGAATAACACAAATCATTTTTAATTAATGTAACGAGTTTCGTTAATCACGATATATCGTGAACTCAAGCGACTCTTTTTTTATTCTTATTCATTCCAGTGTACGATAGATTTCCTTCGTTCTCAAGAGGGGAAAAAAAAGAAAAAAAAAGAGTCTTATCGATCACCTCTATCCACCTCTACCCACTTAATTCTTCCTTTTTCCACAAGGTTAAAAAAAGAAAAAAAAATTCCTCTTCAAACCGGCCATTGAAACGCGATCTTCGTTCGTTACAGATGTTTCAACGAGTTCGAGCAACTTTTCACCTTTCCACCCCCATCTCCAGTTCGAAACAATAAATAAACGAAGCTACGAATTCAAGTTTTTCAAGATGTAGTGGATGCTTTCTCAATCTCCTCCTCTCCGTTTTTATTTATTCTTTCTTCTCTGTCTTTTTCCTTCCTTTCTTTCTTTCTTTCTTTCTTCCTTCGTAGTTTCGAACAAATTATTCTAAATTCCGCGACTGAGGATGACTTCCGGCGATTAGAGAGGAACCGATTGGAGATGCGCGATTCTTTGCCCGTAAATTCGAGGATGCCGGCAGGGAAGTGGACGAGCAAGAAGCGAGAGATATCGCTGGAGAGATAGCGTGTAATAAGAATAATTGTCGGCCGATGTTTTATGCATCGCGATGATTTCGCATTCAACTCTGGGTGGAGAGTAGTCGCGTTTACTAAACTTTCTTGCGGCGGCAATATTAAATCGTTAACAATTTCTTCTCTGGATAGCCTTCGTGGTTCTCGATGAACTTCTTGATCCACGTTGTGCAAATTTGTTTTTACACCGAGTTGCAGTTTTTTTTTTCCTGGATCGTTTCTCGTTTCGCTGATCCTCGTCGTAAAAGACGCGTTAATAAATGAATATTTCTTTCGTGTACCTTTGCGCGATGGTTATTTAATATTTGGTGTTCTGTTTCTGAAGATGAATTCAGCGTTGAGAGGAAACATATGTAAGAATTTTTTACGTCCTGCGATAATATATTCTGCAATGAAATTAATATTATTTAGAATATTTATTTAGAAAGTGTAATCTAATTTAATTTTAACACATTTTAAACTCGATTAATTATTATCGTTATTGCGAATTTTTATTGTAGAGATAAAAAAGATTTTACAAAATTTTCTTCTAGATCAGAGAAGCATCATTAATATTATTGACGAAATTCTAGGGAGAAAAAGCAATTATAACTCTTTAAATGATATTAATTTTATCGAATATAATATCTCTTGATAAATTCCATCGTTAAATATTTTATCAATTTTTCCTAAAAACAACTACACAGCAATTAACCAAAAATAATTAGAATAAAATATAATTTTTTTTTTTTTCGTTATTTTAATCCACTTTTCTTTATGGATAATAATATTGACGTAAACGAAGATGATGTCATAATATAATCCCCATCCTATCTAACGAGTTTAGCAATCTATGTCAAGAAGCTAACATACATTGCATTGAATCTCATGAAAGACATTTACTATGAATTCATTTCTTTATCGTTAATACGATTTAAATATTTTCCTCGTTTTCGTACGTGTTCACGATAGTAAAAAATTATTTTGAAACACTTGTGTTATGATTAGAATTGGGACTCGTGCGTACAGAATGTAATATGGCGTATCTGTGATATCAATTTGACGGTGAAAATATTACCATATTGAAGGTATTATTGCGTGTAATGCGACGTCTATTTATAATGTAGGTATGTGGGGGAGCGATTGACAGATTTTTCATTAACTGAAACGTGAATTTAATATAGTAGACTAATTAATTGCACAGGTTCAACCGTTGCACATCAATAAATGTTGCACACGAATGGTTACGACTTTGCAACTATTATTCCCTCGAAAACAATAATAATTGCAGTTGTATATATCATTCGAAAACTAAATTTGTGCACGAACGAAATAATGTTCGTTGCGAATGCCACGTTGCTTTTGATCTTTTAAAACAAAGTGTTGGCCACTTTGATACGATTAGAAATATTTTGCCATGTATATATTTGTGGTTTCGTTAAATTTATTTCGAATACGTATCTAAGTATGTTATTCTTGATTATATTTGTGCTTAAGTAAACTTTGATTATTTTTTTTTTTTTTTTAGTTTTATTTCATAATTTTGGTTTTTGAATATTTATAAGAGTATTAATTTCATCAAAGTTTCATTCACATTATCATAAAATAGTTTTTAATGATTACTTAAATATTTCGACAAACAGGAAATTGCTTTGATACACGACGAGCTATCTCTTATCGATATGATAAGAGATATAATTTAAATTAGAGAATACGTGTATAGATAATTATATTAGATAATATATAGATAAGAATTACATTTAGAAATTATAATGGAAATTATAATTTTTAGATACAATTTTATTTTAGACGAATGAAAAAAATTGTATCTCAATTTACTACCCAAAACAACTATTTCACAGCATTTCATAACTAACATTGTAACTAACCCTTAATATTAACCAATGCAATCATGAAAAACCTAAAAAAAAAAAAAAAAAAAAAAGAAAAAAACGAAACAGAAGAATTTACTTAATTAATTTAGAATCATACATTGCCGCCACAACTCTTGACTGGCACCACTTTATCCTCCTCCCCAATTCCTCGAAATCCCCCAGGCAGCATATCAATCTAACAAGCAACCGTGGTTTTGTTTCAGATGAATCACCAGCCCGAGTCATCGGCGAACCACCACCGTTCCTCCGATTCGCGACTACTCTCGACACGGGTGAGTTTCTATTCCCGATCTTCTCCTTCTACTCTTATACGCTATACCTCCGGTTATTTAAAGTACACGTCAGGCCTGTAGGAAAGTTTCGCATCGAGGCGAAAGGGGACGACACACGACGTCGACGGTGATGACGAAGGCGAGGGGTTCGAGTTGGTTGACCCCTGCGCCCGTCGACCCTCTCTCGTGTGTCGGATATCTTGAAAATCTCGTGGGTCAGGGCGTGGTGGCGAGCCGGCCCGCAATCAGGTTGACCTGGCATGCCACGAACTTCCCCTCGCTCATTCACCTCGCCGTACGCATTCACCACCACTTACCCCCCTCGTGTCGCGTACCGCTCTGCCATTCCGATTAGCTGCAAATAATACCCGTAACAATACCCGTTCCTCGACACACCTCGCGCTTGTGTTCATAAACGTGTTCTTAACGGGTGTGTGTTTATCAAGCGTGTCCTCGCGATACACGCGTGATCTATGCGCCTCCATTCGACCGCGTACGTGTCCTCGTACAAGAGATTCGCGTGAATCGAAGCGAACGAGCAAGCGTACACTTTTCTGCGTGTCTGGAAGGTGTCGTGTGCGTGCGGGTGATTAAGAAGGGTTGTTAATTTTTAGGATTATAGATAAGTGAAATAGGGGGAGAGAAGGAAGTTATAAATAAAGGGGGTGGAATAAGTAATATCTTAAATGTATCATTCTTCAAATCTTGCGTGATATACTTATATTAAAATAAAATAAAATAACAATTAAGAAATAGAGAAATGCACGCGTTTAAAAATTAATCGTACAAGAATTCAATTAAATAACGGATAATATCGTTTCATTGTAATAACAGAATAGAGTATCATTCGAACGAAACGGAAGGAAATTCGTCAAAAAATTGCCAAGGGAGCGTAATAATAAGAGTTTCAGAAAATTATTATTCCGCGTGGAGTGAACATTCGAGTACAGTGTACTCGTTACACCGAATTATGTATATTAGGATGCGCGTGACCGAGGCGTACACGCGTGTTTACCAGAGCTACCCCTGGCAGAGCAACCGTGGAAGTCGCGCGATGTTCGACGTGTGTGCGTGATTGCGTGCACGCGTGCATGAGACCTTTGTGTGCGCTGGATTCGACCGAGAGCTGCCTTTACGAGGCGGCGGAGAGACACGAGCCAATCAATCCCCATCTGCTTCGGTTTCGCCACCCCTTACGTGCACCACCCTCCTACGTCCCCGGAATTTCGATGATCTTCGCCTGGAAACAGATTTATCTCGCCTCCTTTCCTCTCCTTTCCTCGATCCAACACTGGATTTCCACCGAGTTCTTCCCTGGATTCCGTGAGGGGGATCCATAGTGTTGCTAACATCCTTGTTGCACCTCCTCCTCACCCCTCCTCCCCCGTGTGTTTCTATCTCAGGGAGGATGTTCCGGCCAATTTTATTCCCCACGCGCCTCAAAGATCCCTGTATCAGTGGATGCACGTTCGGCTACCGTTTATAAGGATCGCGGCTTCGTCTGTTATCGAAGGATGGAGCGAGGCTCCATCTCGATGATGGGGAGATAAGATGAAAAGATGGCGGGATATTGGAAGGTTTATTTGGAGATTTGATTTGGGTTTCTTTTTTAATCTCTGGAATCATCTGGATGTTTATGCAAAATTCGAATGTATAAAGATCTGAAGAATGAAATGAAGGTGGCAAGAATTTTTTATTTAAATTCTATTCTTTTTCTTTTGGTTCACAATTGTTGTATTTTTAATACAAACGATTATCTAATAACGAATTTTTCATTCAGTACATTTTCTTCTTATTTCTATTCATATTCTTTTGGATAATTAATTTAATTTGTCGTATTGTTTAGTTTTTCAATGCAATTAAAGAACATTAAACGAACGATGATTTGGATACGTATTCCTTATGGGTATTCAAAATTCAATTTATTCAATTATTTTTCAATTAAAATTAGTAAAAATATTCGCATTTTAACTAGGAATCACCAATTATAACACTGTCACCCTCTTCGTCGATATCTCAACGCCCAGTTTAACGCATCTTCGAAGATGATCCCTCGAAAAATAATCGTGATATCCTCTCATTTTTAATCTAATCGGCCAGCTTCGAGGCTACTTATCGAGACGAGTATCCCTCTCGTTTGTCATCGTGTCAACGGCCGATAGCCCGTGAAAAGCCACCCCCTCGTCCGGCAAAAGTTATATAACTTTTTTTTGCCCGTGTTATCAGACTTATCGCGGCCTGTATTCAAAGGAACGCGTCGTTAATCTCGAGGGAAGCCAGATTGGGGTTACGGGGAGGGCGAAGGTTAAGGTCGAACTTTTCGAATCGATGGGGATGAGACGCGCCGTTAACGGAGAAATCGGCTAATTTTCACGGAGATATTTCAGGGCGTGCAACTCGCCTCGACCCTTGCTTTATCTTATCTCGGCTTCGATTGGACGAGACACGGGGACACGGTTGGAAATTTACTAGCTGTACGCCTTGGGCCGAGTGTCTTGCTCAAAGACGTAGATGGTGATTCGAATTACAGACGCGGCCTCGCAGGTGTCTAATTATTGCAAAGGGTTGCTGCCAATTCGCACGAGATCCGCGATAGCTTCAGGAAACGAGATGCAACCACGCGAATGAATCTTTGTATCAGGCTAGTGCATAGAACAGTTCCACTCGAACTGAAATTTATAATTAAAATTATATTAGTAGCTTAGCTTGTGTAGTAATGACAAAATTTGGATGGTTTTAGGTTCACTCGTTGTGAAAATATATGAGAGCGTCGCATTTGAAATTTCAAATTGGAAGTTTTTAAACTCGGTTAGAGAAGTTTGTTAATATAAAATACGAGCACAGATGATTTTTTTTTTCTATATTTTTTTCGATATTAGTAAGAAAAAAATAGATTTTGAGTTACGTCATTATCTTTAGTAAATGGACGATGTGTAAGATCAAATTGACGTTATTTTTTCGATTATTGAAAATTTTTAAACTTTTTTTTTTTTTTACTTCTCTTTTAAATAATTCATTGATGATGAATAATAAATGTTCTTATTTCTTTCTAGGTAATAAATTTATATTTATTATCAACTTTTGTTACAATTTTTTAAAATTTAAATTTATTATATGACATAAAGAATTATTGAACATTTTAATTATTCATAAAAACTCGCAGAGATTCTAGCATTTATTATTCTAAATTTTTAAAATCAAAAATAAATAAAAAAGAAAATAGAATTGATCTCTCTATATTTTTACATTTACACAAAAATTATCGATATCAAGTTACAAGTACTTTTAAATCGAGCAAATTTTTCTTTTTACTCTTTTGTAAAAACATTTTTCTTTTTATTTTAAAAAGCAGATCGGTTGTTTTAGATTGATAAAAATTTATAATAATAAAATAAAATCCAACGAATGATATATTAATCATTAAACTTTAAAGAAACAACAATTCGTATTCATCAATCTAATAAAATTCGATTGGACTTTCACCATTGCGATCTGTCCTTTTTCTTCCATTCGTGAATCATTTTTTATCAATTTGTGTTCTGTTGGTGACGTCAATAAGATTCCTCAGATTAAAAAAAATCGGTTTCGAAACAACGAGTCACGAGTCACGATTGTTCGCTCTTGACGATCGAAATTGGTGCGATTGCTCGATAGAAAAGAAATTTCATATCTCGAATTTGGAGCATTTTTCACTCGAATTGTGGCGAACGAATAAATTTCATGAAATATGTACCAGTCGGGGAGAGTTCATTACGCGCGACAGCGGCTTATTAAAAATGCCTGGCAAACTGGTTCTCTTGTCCGATATGATTATGGTCGACGAAGTAGAGTGTCGTAATACGAACTGGAAATTGAAACGCGTTTATTCACTCTAGTCCTTTGTGTTATAAGATGATCGACCGAGGTTTATTATATTTAATTTAACACATCTAAATACATCTACGAGAAATTATTTAATTTTTTATTCAGAGGATGGATCAATGTTCATGTATTATTAAATCCGATCAATTATATTATTGATGCATATAAATGAAGGATAATTTATTAAACTGATTATAATAGTGATTTATTAATAATTTTATTAATAATATTTAATAATTTTCAACTCCTTATCTATCTTTCTATTAATTATCATTCGTTCGCTTCTCATTTTAATTCGCAATATCCAAGACACAATTCTTTAAGTCTGACAGACCTTAAAATTACAATCGACTTGAAATAATATAATACATGTTCAGAAAGCATGTATATCCATTGAAATTCTTCATTGACGAAACGTTTCATTGATAAAATTGATTTAAAACTCTTCCGTTCGACTCGACGTGTTTGAATCCCGTCTGTAACTCGCGTTCAAAGAAAACATTCGAACAAAGAAATATTAAAATGTAAATATCAATAAAGCAACGAACGTCTAAACGTCTCGGTTACCTTTGAATCGCGAAATAATGGGCATGGATTCAAATGAATTCTTGTCAGAGGCGCGATATTTATTAAAATTGTCGAACGCATCGATCGTCTGGTGCAATCTGTTACACGAGATAAAAGGAATACAAACGAAATATCGTTTAACCATCTTGCCATGTGAAACAAACTTACGGATGCTTCCTATGAACAGGCACAATCTGTTTCACTTTTCTCGTCGAAACAAAGAGCGAAAGTAGAGCAAAAATATAGTTCAGAGAGCTGAAATACTCCAATTTAAATTTCCATATTGATTCACGTGTGGTGGTGGAGAAGATAGGGGATGATGCATTAAAAGGGCGCACGTCTTTCAGGATTGGTGATAGATCGAATGAAAAGCTTAAGTCTGCGCCACCTGTGAAGGGATCAATAGTATTTCGCGCGTGACTAGATATTCGTAAAAAGCGTGGCTCAAATTTCTTCCATCTATTTCTTGCTCTATTATTGCATAGAGTGTCCCGGTATTCTCAGAGAGGGAGTGATGAAAAGTTTTTAAGAAAATCGAATTTAAAAATGTATGAAATACAATTAAATTTGAT